ATCATTACACAAATCATTCATGTAACTGTGCTGATATTTTTATATGGAGTAAGTGAATACAATTACTAATAATTGCCATACACATCTTACAGCTGCAGAGTAACTGATGCCACTACAATACAGAGTAGGGCAGCAGCTGGGAAATTCCCAGGGAAATGCCTGCGAAACACTGCATCTGAAAGCCAAGGTGGATTTGGGTGCATATGTGTGTATTTGCAGTTAATATGACAATTTGGGAGGGATCCACATTGTCTTGCTTAGATTTTGTGTATCCTAGTTATGTGTGTGAGATGGTTCTCCATACCTGTAGAGCTTATGGAGGTGGTCCTCCAGGCTGTAGACAAAGAAAGTGAATCCTTCAAAAGCAGCAGCAAGCAAAGTTGGGCCATCAGGTCACCAAAGGGAGATGAGGATCTCAGATTGGATATTAGGAAAAATTACTTCTAAGGAAGAGTGGAACATTGGAACAGGCTGCCCAGGGAGGTGGTGTAGACACCATCCATGGAGGTGTTCAAGAAAAGAGTAGATGTAGCACTGAGGGACATGGTTAGTGGGCATGGTGGGGATGGATTGAGGCTGGACTACACGATCTTAGCGGTCTTTTCCAACCTTAAGAATTCTATGATTCATTGAGGAAGTCATGCATCCCACCTTCCACTTTCAAAGTGCTAGTCTTGGTTCACTCTGTGTAACAGCAGTTCTTTGAGCCTGTAGGGAAACTGTTAGTGCTGGCATCTGTCAGGCAGCACCCGTGTGCTGTCAGTTAATGACACAGATGTTTTATGTGGCTAATTGTGAGCCTCTGCATGCAGGTTTATGGGAGATTTGGGTTGATGCGTATGGCTTCATAGAGGAATTGGGCTGATGCACACAAGTTAGGGGATTGATTTAGGCATGGCTATCCTGGCACCCTGATATGCATCATTTCAACCCTTGGCAAGGAGAGCAGCTTGGTGGAGGACAGATGCAAAAAAACTCCATGCCAGTATTTCAACAAGCTCAAGCGATGACTTCTGTTTCAACAGCTGCCTATTCATACCCACTGAACTGTTTAGACTGAAATCTTTTTTCTTCACTGATGGGTTAACTTCCTTTCTGGCTCTGTTTGCAACAGGCCATCAGCTCCTTTGATAACACTAACCTGGATTTGCAATGCTGAACCCCCATTTTGCACACCATCCAAGTCAATGGGAGTTTTGTTCACCTCTCCAAATTATCTCAGAGGAATGATAGACTCCATAGGCTGGAGTCTGCCTTAAGGCATGCTAAGGGGCATATGTCTAGGAGCCAGATCGTGGTGCTTGAGAATTATTATGTAAAAGATATGCAGAAAAGCAGGGGATATTAATTCAGGCACCACTCTGCAGTTATCAGCAGGATCTGGCTTGCATTTCATTAAGGCGCATTTTCACCTTGGCTTGGGCAGAGCTCTCCATGTCACCTTCCTGCCATCCTATTTCAGCATGGAAATACCCCAGTATGAGCAGGGACAATGAACTGGAGAGATTGGGGCTTACTCCAACCTACCAAAGCAATTTTACCTCATCATGGAAGCACTGACAGGTCAACCTGTTCATGTATAGTTGAGCAGGTGCCCAGGTGAGTCCAGTGGGCTCTTGCTGAGTCTGGTGAGGTGTGATATGGTTGTGTCAGTCGCTTTCCTCCACACTTGGTCGTGTTCCCACACACCTGGGATTACACTGATGATGCCAGTGTTGATACCAGCATTGTGAACAACAACAAAAAAACTATTAGAAATTGTGTGAAAGAGCTACTTCCATCAAAAAGGATTAGCATGAGTTTGCATCAGGATGAGGCCAAAATGATGACACCAACACGCAAAAGAGCAGAGATGGAGCCATTTCATGTGCAACTATGGTGGTCAGAGCTTCCAGTTGGGTAGACATAATCTCTCTGGGCCCACCCCATCTTGATTTTTGCCAGGACTTGGACTGGTTGTGGTGGTCCCACATTCCTGTGGGGACAAAAGCAGTGTGGCTGTTCTGATGGCTGTTGGTGTAATCTCGCCATCTGTGAACAGCAGGAAACCCTTGAATTAAAGAAGGATCTAGCATCACAGGCAAGCAGGCAGTGACTGCAATACCTTGATGGGGTATTGGGTGGGGTGATGGTGGTGGTGCTGTAAAATGCTCCTCACCTTGATTCACACTGTTGGTGTTTCCTTGGCCCTTCACCCACTACAGCCACCATCCAAGGCAGCAGATGTGGCATCAGCATTGATGAAGTGTCCTGTGTTATGTCTGGGTTATGTTACTGGCTTGGAGTATGATTTCTGGTTTAATGTGGTACACAGGATTCACGTTACATGCTGGACATCACGAGACATTGGCAGAGCTGATCCTCCAGCTTCACCTGTGCATCTCAAGTTGGGAGTCAAGGCTTGGACTCTGCTGACTCCACCGGTTGAGGCAGAAGGGTGACAGCACAGAGGGTTTTGCTTTTACAGCATGCTAACAAACATAATCACCATATTATCAGGAGCATGATTGCCCACTGTGTTTGCTGGGAGAGTGAGGCAAGGTCAGCTCTGTACCTTGGTTGACCCTGGCCAGGACAGCCAAATGTCAACTCCACCACGGGTTTCAAGGAAAGCACTAACATGTTTACTACCCTTTGGTAAAAATTTACCCTTCTTGTTGTCAGAGTTGGTTGTTGGAGCTGGCTTGGGACACACAGGGTAGTGTTATGAATCACCATTGCCATTCCCCTGGCCTTGTCTCAAGTCCCATTGGGACCCCAAAGACCAGCAGAAAATGTAACACATTCTTTTGTAGAACATTTCTCTTGAGCAAAGTAAGTCTTTAACTTCTAGAGACTTTCTTCCTGCATTTACTAGAGGAGAATGGGTAGGGTGGCAATAGCAAGGAATATTTTAGGGAAGAGAATTTGGGAATTTCAAATGAGCAGCTGGGTCCCAAGGGTTAATGTTTCCCTAAGCAAGAGGACAAACAATATTGCATGACCTAAGGCCCCAATTGCAGCTTGATGGTGCTGTCCAGCCTGTGACGTATTTGCAGCAAATTTTTTGTCTATCAACAGGAACTAAAAGGGGGGTAAAAAGCAAATAAACAAGATCAGTGGTATTGTATCACTGGCTGTCCCTGCAGACCTTGCTGTACTGATAATCATTAACTCTCCCAAACTGAGAAGCACTGCAGAGCTCAGGAGTAAAATATGGTATTTCTCATACTTAGAAAAAAAAAAAAAAAAAGAAGAGTGCATATTTGATACTGCTTGGAGAGAGAAATGTCTGCAGTGTTTCCACAGCCCTTGGCCTTGTGGCACAGCCTGTGAGTGCTATGCAGAAAATGACCCTAAAAGGATGCACATAACGTATGTAATGACAGAGAGGGTTTAAACCATGCTTCAAGAAAGAAATACAAACATCAATCTAAAAATGTATTTATTGGGCTGCTAATAATGAACAGCGGTGAGGGTGGGGGGTGATGAGCAGTATAATGAAAACCTCGGGGTCTGGACACCATTATCCCATGTGCCCAGAACTCACATAGAAAAAAATCTTGAGCATCCTCTGCAGGACCTCTCTTCCCTGCCTCAGCCAGGAGATGTGGCAGAGACGCCCCCCCAGACCCACAGACACTGATCATGCAAGCTCAGGTTTTGCATGCTCAGTGCTCCCCTGTGCTTTAAAAGGGAAATAAACGGGCGGCCAGTGAGGAGCTCAAGTCTGGCGTCAATGCTGGGTGGAGGATGTGGTGAATGGAGAATTTCCTCCCCGCTGATACAGATCCTACAGATGCTCGATGGGACACTTTGGTGCCAGTCCCAGCCCTCCCAGTTCCCGGCCAGCTTCAGGCACCCAGGAACCTGATTTATGCTGCTGCAACTAGGATTTGAACTGGGACTTGCAAATATAACCTTTCCCCTTACTTGAAACAAAATATGTCAATCTCCTGAGCTTGGAAACCCATATTCTTGAACACAGAGCTTTGTCCCCCATCATTAGCACACGAACTGCATTACCTATAAAGTCTGCTTACTCCAAGCAAATGTTTCTCCATTTTTTCTTTCTTTTTACTTCAATTTGAAGTGAAAGGTACAGTATAGGATTCAAATGCCTTTGCATTACACGGGTTTCTGACCACTCGAAAACCCCATGAAAATGACCTCACAAAACTGAAACGCTTGCAGAACTGTGTTGCGGCGTTCCACTCCGCCTAGCTGAACTTCCCCTTGATTTTCTTTTATTGCTTCACATGGCGCTTAGCTTCTACTTTTTTTTTTTTCTTTATTAAAAATACAAACAAAAACCCAACACCCTAGATCCTGCTTCAGCTCTCTCTACACGTCAGTATCCCTACCCTGTGGATGTCGCAGGAACATCAGGAATTGGCCAAGGAGGTGGAACTACGGAGCAGCTCCAAGGAAAAAGACAACGTGGTGGTTCATCACCCGGTGCCATGTCCCCACTCATTGCCACACCAAAGGCTGGTGGCAGGGCTGCGGGATGGGAGAGCTAAGAGGGACCTCGCAGAAGGATTCCGAAATTCAGATCTGTCCCTGACAGCTGCTGGCCCACTTGCTGCAATCTGAACGGTGTCTCTGACTTCTCTTTGGCTCAAGGATTTAACATTAAGGCAAAAATAAGACACAGTGTAGAAGCTCCATCAAATCTTTGGCACAACAGCAACAACGGCAACAACAAAAAATGACTGTACACATGAGCTGAGAGGGGAACATTTCCCAGTTAAGCAAAGGGAAAAGTGCTAAATAAATTGCACGTACTAAAAGGTGGCTGGCTTAAAAACAATAAGAAGCATCCTTGTCCTTTTTTTTTTTTTTTTTCCTTTCTGTTCCAGAGACTGAGAAAGTTCCTTGGCCAATTGTCATCTTGAAAAGGGGCTTCTGCACAAAAGCTGCTTGCAGACTTCATCTGGATTGTGCAATCTTTGCCAAGAACAGATGTAACTGGCTGGAAGCTCTTCTGAATCCTCCCTTCCCTGTTATTACTCCTGGAAAGAGAAAGATGCAGCATCAGAACTGTGAACATGTGCTGTTCTGGTGGCTCCTCACACAAATGGCCCTGATTGGGGCCATTAACCCACAGTGCAACTGTTCTGGAGTTTGGCTTGTTGGGAATCGACAGCTAGGTGGGCAGAGTCCCTAGAGTGCTGGAAGAGAGAGAGGGAACAAGTAAAGTTTGGGAAGGAAAAGGAACAAAATGAGACATGTTGGCAAATACCTGCTTTGGAAAAGACCTCTGGATCCATTTTCAGAATCCGAAGTCAATCTCAGAATTACAAAAGGGAAGCAAAAGAGCTGGTGTGGCCCACACCTGTGGGACCTCTTTTGCTATTGTGGTTATCACATTTATTTCCACAGAAACAGCTCCTCAGCCCACAGGAGAGGTAGAGGCAGGTGTATGTGAGTAACTGGTACAGGTTTACTGCTGCCATCGTAAAAAGCACAACTTCAATGTGCAGCACTTTGAGACAGGAAAAACCTCATCTAAACCCCCTCTGACATTAAAATAAGCCCTGTGAATATCCCACAAACAATCATTAGCATACTTCAAAACACAGTAAAATCCTTTGGGCTCACTCTTTCATGAGGTCACATCGCAGTTGGCCAAACTGCCTTCATCACGTGGGCTCCTAAATCCTCCTGTAAGTAACACAGGAATTTAGAAACTTGGAAATGGATCCCATTTTCTGAGTCCAACCACCGTTTCTTGCTTTTTGCCAGTGGACTTCAGAGCTTTCCAGGGTGCAGTGCGGCCCCTGACGGTCTTTTGGACACGGCCATCAATTCTCCAGACAGACCAGGCGTCTTGATGACAGTCTAAAAAGGTCAAACTCGATTGACCAAAAAACATTATTTCTCAGATCCATTTGTTGCTTTACTCTCTCCCCTTTTCTATTATTGAATTTTGTAACATTAAGGTACAAAGTGCCAGGACTCGGTAGGTCATACTGGTGGTTGGACTTGGTGATCTTGAAAGTCTTTGCCAACCTAGATGGTGATGTGGTTCTATAATTCTCTGGAAGTATTATGACACTGATGTTCTACTTTATTATTACTATAATTAGGGCTGCTGCCTGTAAGATGACCCATCCCAGGTGAGCATCCACACTGGGCTAAGGGGAGGGATGGGGATACAAGAGCCTCACTGCAAACCCTTCCTGCATCAGGCCTGCCCTTCTGATTGGCGCACAGCAAATAAAAAAATGGAGCTCATCATGCAATTATTATCAATGACTTGTTGTCTCTTCTGACTAACACACTACCTAGTGCTGTTCTAGGCAGGAAAATCCACCGTCCTAATTAGCTGGGACTCAGGATTTTGAATACACAGGGGTTGGGTGAGAGAATGACAAACAGACTTGTGTATCACAAAAGTTTCTGATAGGAAATGCCTAAAACGATTTTCCAACAATTAATTATGATTATTAATAACCTGTAATAGAAATGAGAGTTATTTTTGTCACATGGAAAGAAAAAGAAGAAAAATGAGAGGAATAAAAGAAGAAAAAAAAGAGGGGAAATGAAGAAAAAGGAGGGAAGTATTGAATGCTCTCATTAAGGTCAGGGCCCTGGGCAGCCTGATCTAGTGTGTGGCAACCCTGCCTACAGCAGATAGGTTGGAATTGGATGATCTCTATCTCTAATGTTCCTTCCAATCCAATCCATTGTATGATCCTATGATTAATATTAAAAGACAGTAGAGAGATGCATCCCCTGTTGCTGTCTGGAACAACAGTCTTAGTGAGCAAATCCCTTCCCCCGTAGGAGCAGCCTCACTCTTACCCAAAGCCACCCAAGTCAGACGGGGAAAGTAAGAAAATGGAGTGAGCAAAGGAGGGTCAAAGTACAGCAGATTTGGGAAGAAAGATGTGGAAAGGAGGGTGGATGGAGGGAGGGAGGAAAGGAGGAAGTCATGGACAGAGGAAGAAATAGACAGATGGAAGGATGGGTGGAGGGAGTTATGGAGGAAAGGATGGAAAAATGGACGGAGGGAATGAGAGATGGATGGATGATGAATGGAGGGATGGAGGAAGTAATGGAGAGAGGGAGGAATGGATGGTAGGAGAGAAAGTAGGAGGGATGGAGGATTGAAGGGAGGCAGGGAGAGATGGAGGGAAGGATAAATGGAAGGAGGAATAGGTGGAGGGAGCCCTGCAAGGCAGTGGAGGAGCTCAGCAGAACTGCTTGGTCCCAGGGGCTCATAGGGGGGTGCTGGGTGGAAGGGGCTTTGCCTCTCCCCGACCTGCTCCCACTCCAGCCAGCAGCTCAGAAGACAGATTTATTGAACAGAGTCTGCTTTAAACTAATAATCACAACTCCCTTGGCTCTTGAATTTGACAACTGGCCCAATGACCTTGGTGAGTTTGCAGCATCCCAGAGCATTTCAATCTCTATAAATCAAAGTACTGTTGGAATGGAGTCAACCTTTGTTCCAAGGCTTCTCCTATCTCCCCGAGTCACATATTCCTTTTGCTGAAGTTACCTGATAGCTGTGGGGTGGATCTCCCCTCCACGGTAGTAACTGGAGTAGAGGGAAACCTCTTGTTTTTTCTGCTCAAGCCACAGAGAATCCTCAGCCTAACCCCTCTGCTCATTCACATTTGCTGTTTGGGTCACTGGGGTGCAGTGGCATCTCAAAACATGAGCTATAAGCACAGGGCAGGGAAAACTCACATGGCACCCAGCTTCCCTACGGACCCTGCTGTCTTGCAGCCACAGACAGGCAGATGGACGGGAAGGATCACTGCTCTCCTGTGGCCCAGCTCTTCCCCAGGGAAGCAGCCTGGCTGCCTGCCTGCCTGCAAGTGCGAGCAGGGAGAGGGAGCTATTTTTAAAGAGGAACCTCTGCTTGATCAGACTGCAGAGAAAGGGAGCTCCAACCTCATTACCAGACTCCCCTGGAGCACAGGACGGGAATCCACAGGGAAGAAATGCCGTGCAGATCACCCGAACACGATGCGGTAACACCATCTGATATCGCTATCAGGTGATCGATTGCCACCAGCACCGGGTGAGCAAACCAAGCTGGGAGCTGTGCCTCCAGCTCAGGGCTCCATGTAAATAAATCATGGATCCTGATGCAGGGTTATAGAAAAAATATGCTTCGAGCAAACAGAAATGCCATACAAATTAAGCCTGACGCTACCATTTCTCTTTTACAACCCCACTCCCAGCGAGTAAATGTGCTGCAGTATGTGGGAATAAACCTCACCTACAGCAGGAAATCTGCTTTTAGGCAAGCAGCAATGGGGCAGCACCAAGGCATGGCAGAACACCACAATAACTGTTTTATATAATGCAATAATTACATACATAACGTGAGCAATTTTGGTGCAACAGACTGCAACAAATGGAGCGGCGTTTCATGCCGTGGGTGCTCCTATATCATCTAATTATCAGGGAACATATATATAGCTCATCTTTAATTTTAATTCCTTGTGTCTGTGTGCATCCACACACATACGCAGACCCCGGGACTCAAAAACCCAAGAAACTAAATTCCAGCAGAAAACTTTTATTGAGCTCCAACTGCTCGCCTGTTATTCATAACCCAGTTTCCTCTCTCACAAAGAGACCTTTCGCATGGTTTTCTCTTTTTTTTTTTTTTCCTTCTGCCTCGCTAACAGCTGCTCGCAGTGTTGTATCCTGAGTGATGATGAGGTTCTGAAAGTGTTTTTTTGGAACAGATGGCCAGGAGAGAGCCGGGGAATGTGCCAGCAGCAAGCTGGGGAATGCGCCAAGTCCTGCAGTGACTGAGTACTCCGGGTTCCAGCTCGCGTGCCTTTCCCCTGCCCTCTGCCCCAAGTGGCGCCAGCAGGACTTCCCAGCTCGCGCTCCGAACATCTGGAGTCTGCGACTGCCAGAAGAGACGGGGAGGAGAGGGGGGGGAAGCCAAAAAAAAATATAACACAACCACCCAACCCAACCGCCCGGCCCTCCCTCCCGGCTCCGGCGTGGCTCCCATGCTGCTGCTGAGCAGAGCAACCGGTGGGAAGCAAAGAGGGGAGGTTTTTGGGGGGTGAAATACCCACCCCCCACCCCCCCCCAACACACACACACACATGCATATATATAGATATATTTTTTAGGAGTTTTCTGGTTGTTACGGGGTTGTCATGGTGTTAGGGCTGCCTAGCATACGGTGTTTTGTGATGAGCAAAAAGCTGTGCTGTGCTGCCTGGAGAGTGGGTGGGAGCTGCCCTGTAGACATGGGGAGCACTGCTCTGTACCCCCAGACCCCTTAATGCAGCCATTCTGCAGAGCATATGGATCATGTAATCACACAATCATTAAGGTCGGAAAGACCACTATGATCATCTAGTCCAACCATCAGTCCATGCCCGTAAATACTCTAGACCATGTTCCTCTGTGCCACATCTACACTTTTCGTGAATGCTTCCAGGGATGGTGATTCTACCACCTCCTGGGCAGCCTGTTCCGACACCTCACCTGGAGCATAGAGCTGTGATAAGTAGCCTGCGGCAGGACCCAAAGCCCCACAAAAACCAAGTGAGGCTTTTGGGGGACTCCTGGCCACCCGTGATATGTCCCCAGCTGAGACCTCAGATCCAAGCAAAGCTCCAACAGGATCCAGAGCTCAGCTGGGACGTCACAGTCAAAATCTCCATCACGCTGAATCATAGAATCATTAAGGTTGGAAAAAGACCTCTAAGATCACCAAGTTTAATCACCAACCCATCCCTACCATGCCCACTAATCCATGTTCCTCAGTGCCACATCTCCACATATTTCAGACACCTCCAAGGACGGTGACTCCAACACTGTGACTCATGCATGCACTGTGAAGGGCATAACTTAGTGCAGAGCCCTTTTATAACCAGCCAAAGGCCAGCTTTCAAAAATGAACTCTATCGTAACTTGCCACCTCCTCATGCAGCTTATTTTTTTTAGGAAAAGGCATTTGTAGGCCTTCAGTTACCCCTTTGGCTGCTTATAAATGAGATCTCCAATCACCAAACACCCTTGGTCAAATCTCAGTTGCAACGACTTAAATCACTCTATAACAGCAGTTAAGACTGGAAAGGGGAATTTTTTTCTTAGCTAAAATAGCTGGAGAGGCTAAAGCCAACTTTTCTAATTAACACAATGGAGTGGAAGGGGGGAAAAAAACCCACCTATTAAATTTCCCATTGCAACAACAAAGTCTGCACAACAACCTAACATTAGGGACAGCAGATAATTCACCCTCAAAAACAAAGCACAAAGCAATGCAGAATCCAGCAAATGCAACATCTGGAGCCCCCGCTTGCCAAAACAAACTCCCATCAGCTACTTTTTTGTGTGAGATGCTCACGGTGCCACAGCATGCTGCAATCTGCCAGGGAACTCAGGAGATAGGGGCAGGGAGAAACGCAATAAAACAGAGATGGTAGCAGATAAGGGCGCAGCACAGTGCGAATACCAGAGGTCTGCACTTGGGGCTTGCTGTGTTTTTTTTTTTTAAAGAAAGAACAAAAAGAGAACAGCAACAACAAAAATCCACCCTGAAGTCTGTAACTCAGAAGGAACTGCTCAGCAAGCAGTGGTTTGCGAGACCTGATTAAAACCACGCTAGGCACAGAAAACGTGCCGATTTCAGAATTAATGAGCATGCGGTGATTTTGGGCCAAGCCATTGTATCCTCCTCCAGCTGCCTGTGTGAGACCCCCCAGGAGAGACATCCTTCCACACCACCTGACATCCAGAGCTCCCATCTTTTCTGCTCAGCTATCCCAGATTTACTGCTCCAGTTTGCCAACAGCCTTCCCCCTGGTGCTCGCAATGCCATGGCTTGGCTTGAAGAGAAAGGGACACACCATGATAGGGTGACCATTTCAATCCTGTCTTTGCATCTCTTGTCTTCATGTCTCCTGTCTATTGGGATTTGCTGACTGCTTGAGGCTCCTCAGTGAACCCTATTAGTTTCGGCTCCATCTTCAACTGAATGTGCTCTGGCCATCACACAAGCTTAAAATAAAATGATTCCTATCAGCAAGGGCAACCCAGAGACTCTTGGGTTGCCCAGAAAATCCTCCACACAGACTTTCCAGTATGGCAGAAATGCATTTGCAAGACAATTTCTAGAAAGAAAAGTAAGGTAGAGCATGGACCAGGATGTTAGGACAAAACTTGTCTTTCCTTTTGGAGAAGGTATTTGGAGGGGGGTGAGGATGGGTGTCCTCAGAGGATACGAAGCAAAGGCAGATTTTCTCCCGGTTATGCTGTTTCTGGGACTGGTGGTGGCCTCTGTGGAGGCATGATGGCCAATGTCCTGGGAGAGTTTCATTGTTCATGTGCTCTCAATAGGATCAGGGCTTTTCTCTGTACACACACTTTGGAGCAAAAGCCAAAAATGTAAGATTTTTAATTCTTAATTTATTTTTTTAATTAAGAGTGGGCACAGCTCTAACCCTCATATGTGAACAGCCTGGGATATGGAGCCACTTGAAATCCAGATCCAAGTTTTCTGTCTTGAAGCTTGTGTTGGTTTACATAAGTCAAGACAATGAGACTCAGCCCATCAGGCACCAAAAGCCTCAGAGCCAGCCCAGTGAACTGCCCAGCTGCCATAATGGATGTTCCATTTTGACCAATGACTTCCTCCATTTTGACCCTGGAAGGTTGGTCAGCCCTAGGACTCCACTCCCATCTCCCGCCCCAGGGCTGGTGGCACTGCAGCAGTATTCCTGGGCCACCAGCACCCATTTCCTTGTAGTAAATACTCAATTTCAGGCTTCCCCATACACAACTCCTGTACCTCCTTGGCCACATCTTGCTGTGCACATCTCACCTGGCACTACAGCTCTGGGGGTCAAAAATACGGCCTCAGGAAGCGACAGAGAGCATACTATTGTGTTTATTTATAACCCAAACTTCTGAAGGATGATTTGTTGGGCTGAAAAAGAGGAAAACCAGGGAAACCTGCCCGAATCGGAGGCAGACCTTAACGACACCGGGAAGGAGCCTGCTCCCCAGCTTAGCTGTCCATTCATCCATTAAAGTCCCGCTGATTTATTATCCTGCATGACAAGCGAGCCCAGAAAGCAGGGGGAAGTTCAATTCAAGTTTACAAAACTCTTTTTGTCATAAAAGCCCGAACAAAGACATCAGTCACTCCTTTAATTTACCCATGTCACTTTCCAAGAGGAAAACTGGCCGAGCGCTCTGCTTCCTCCTACAGCAGCTTGATGATGATTTCACCTAATTGGTTCAGCGTTAAGTAAGCTAAAGGAATGTGATGCGTAATTAGATTCAGCGTTGTTTCCTCAAGATACCCGCATGTCCTTCAGGTCATACATCTTCCTAATATGTTTATATGTACAACATCTCCATTAGCTACTTTTTTTTGGTTGTTGTCAGGCGATTTTCACAGAGATAAGTGTTAGATTAAACAAAGCAGAAATCACAGCCGGGCGGCCACGTTCTGGGCTCTCCAAAACGCTGGTTGCTTTTAACCAGCAACAGCCACAAGACAACGCTAATAGGATCATGTTGTGTTAAAACACGAGGGGGGGACTAACGAGAGGAAGAGCCTGGCGAGGAGAGCAAAGCTTTTGATTAGCAAGGAATGTGGTTATTACAGGATCAGACAGAAAAAGCAAAGAGCCGAGAAGTGGGAGAAAGACAAGGAGTAAAGAATCAGGAAAAATTCAAGAGGTTGAGAAAGGAAGGAAATAGCTTCAGATTTATTTTTTTTCCCCCTCTTTTGTAACTTTTACCGTTATTTGGGGGGGTGGAGGAGACTGTAACATACCTTCCTTTTTTTAGATCTTCCTTCTGCTTGTAAGGTCCTAGTGCACTGCTCCACGCATTCAGAGAAGCTCATGTTACTGTGGTCAGCGCTGTAATCCAGGTCTGCTAGTCTGGCCAGGGAAAGGATATAGTTACAGGCTATTCTCAAGATGGCCAGTTTGGACAACTTTTGACCATAAGAATAGCAGGGAACCTAGAAAGGGTAACAGGGAAAGAAAAAAAACATTAGGCCAGAAAAACAAAATATCTCGCTCGAAGCATGACAAAACAATTGTAGGTTATTTTCTTAGCGGTTTTTAACACAAATAGGAACTCTGCGATAAAAGGCCATATGGTCCCAACAGGTTTTGCAGAAGAACTCCCCTGCTGATCTCTGCGGGAATGAAGCAGCATGAGACCTCTCGATTTCAGCGGGGCAGTTCTGCTCAAAGCGTGATGGCAGGACATGGGATGCCTGCCTGCCGCTCAGCTGGCTTCTCAGAGAGGCCAGACCCTGTTTTTCTTGGAAAACCCAACCCCCTGTTGCCAGCCCCTTGAGTGACTTGCCCTGAGCATCCTCCTCCCCGCAAGCGGCTGCAAAGCCATTGCAGCCTTTTGCAGTAAGGGAGCAATGCTGGCAGAGGTGACATGAGCTCAAACAGCATCACTCACAGCTTCCAAATCTGCTCTGAAATTCCAACCCACTGCCCCATGCTGAGCACCAAAGCACCCATCACTCTGCCTCTCAGGAAAGCATTATCTGATGTAAGTTATTTCTTTACCCTTGAAGATTTTTAGTGTAATGTGGAACATGCGAACGATTCAAATTAAGTAGCACGTGTCCAAATAAATGCATGGGATACAGAAGGTTGGACTGATTTTATATTGCCATCCAGCAAAACGCTACATGTGAGCTCAATTTTAGGCACGCAGCTTTGCTATGTCCAGCTTAAAGAGAAAATCCGCTGAGTTCAAATAGGCTTGGGGCCCCGTCCGCTACTTTGCAAAATTGCTAAAGGTCATTCAGCCCTTAATGCACAAGAATCTATTGCCTATGGGAAACTGGAGCCGGGCGTTTATCTGAAATCCATCCTCACTGCTCAGGCTGTCTGAGTGCCTGTCAATCTAAGTTTTCATGCAACATCAATCACTGCAATGGCCGAACGTCCCTCAACCATCTGCCTCCATACCAGCCTCCATCCTCCTCATCCCTCTATGGTATCACGCTCTGCTTATGGTTGGAGGTTTTAAAGCTCCTTGCTATACCCGTGCCTGAGCTTCTCTTTTTTCCACAGACACAAAGCCAGGCTCACCCCCAGTTTTACATAAGGTAAGAGGGGTTAAAAGGGGTTCTTCCTCTCTGCTGACCCCATAGCAGCTGCATGCAGATATCAATGGAAGGGCAGAACAGCTCAGAAATATATAGTATTTCCCCAAGCATTCTGCCAGGATCCAATAAATGCCAGCTCCACGAACCCAGCTAGATGTGCTTCCTTGGTATTAGCAACCCACAATAGATATTTTTGTTCATTAATTTGGCACAGTAAGTTGAAACCCTGGCAATAGTAGCGCCCACAACATGCTTTTGCAGTTCCCTCCTCCTTCTCAACACCACAGCCCTCCTTTTGCTTGCTTTGAAGCTGGCTCCCACTGTCCTCACTTCAGGTCCCCCAGTTCTTGAGATGAGGGAGCAACAGATTCATCTCCTCTGTATTTTCAGTCCTCTACCATCTATGGTTGGACTAGATGATCTCAGTGGTCTTTTCCAACCTTAATAATTCTAGCATTTATCTCTTTTTCTTCATCTGATTACTGTATTGTAGCCATCCTGCACCTCTGAGCACTGCTGTTGCTCTTCCCTGAACCCATCCTCACCCCAGTGTGTCCTTGGGGAGCTGGGAGAAGCTGAACCACATGCAGTATTCATACTGTGGGTGCTCTCTGAGTTTATCTAGCTGATGCTCTCTGCTTCACCTTATAATCTTTTTCTAATCACTCCTGATTTGATTTGTGGCCACTACTGGCTACAAATCTGAGATTTTCATCTACAGAAACTCTAAGGCCTTCTTTCTCTGAGATTATGGTCAGTTAGTGTCTAACGTTTTCTAAGAGTAATCTGGTACAGTTTTCCCCATATGCATTGCTTTACATCTACATTCTACCTCTTCTTAGTAGAGGAAGCTTACTTTCCAGCTTGGTTTTGTCAGATGCTTCAAAAGAGGACTCTACCATGAAAATTCAGACCAATAACATCTCAGCTAGACCACCCTTATCCACGAGTACATGGATTTTAATGGAAGAACGCTGTTGACCCCATAGGCCATTTGGCTTGCACGATATATCTGAGATGCCAGCGGCATCTGACCTCTCCAGAAGCAAGCCAACAAGCTTCAAAGGGCCTTTTTCTCTATGTATCATCTGCTACTGATACCCTTGTGGGGGCTGGGGATCTATTTATTCTCTGGGAATACCCAGTGGGACCACTGCTTTGACCTCCACTGGCATTTCCACAGTGCTGCTATCACCAATGCAAAAAGGAACATACCATCCACCTTCAGATGGTAATACCTGGCCCCCAGACGCAGCGAGCTGAGTTATTTTGGAAGCAGAGCTTTGGGCAACAGAAACACCCAACTGTCTTTCAACACTGGTGTCACAAAAACAAACAGCAGCACACAAGACAAAACCAAGACGGAAACCAAAATGGAAAGATTCAGTGAAATGTGGGAGTAAGTTCAGAATTGGAGAAAGGAGGAAGTTAAATCAAGCGGAAGGAAAAGCGACCGCGAAATCGTTGGGGCTGATGCACAGACACTGTCCAGCTGCAACACAAGAACACAGGAAAATGTCTATTTTCCTCATCTGTTTTGCTCTCCTTCTTCTGTGTGTTGTTCATTATTTATTTGTTTATTTATTTATTTAAAGGAACAAAATAAAACCCAAACTGTTTTTTTTTTTTGGGCAGGCCTGCTACAAATTCCAAGAAAGATCTCAGTGTTAGCAGAGTCGACCAAACCCTTGCCCGGCGTTACACAACGCTTCTACACGATGCAGCAAAGTCCAAACTGGAGCTGCCCTGTGCATACACAGGAAGAATTTCACCCCATGCAGCTCAGATACCACTGTGATGGGTGCGGGGCACCAACAGTAGGAGATAAGAGTTTTTGCCATGGTAACAGTGTTAGAATAACTGTTTCGTATGGACCCTCCCTGTCTTGGCTGGGCTCCTGCCATTTTAATGTTTCCTTTTGAATTAAACATGGAAAATTGAGAGAGGAATGAGCCACTTAATTCAGATCCAGATCTAACACTTTCCCAAACAATGGGGGGGGAGAAGAGAGGTTTTGTGCTTTGGTTTCAGCACTTCTTTAGAAGACTTCTTCACAGAGCCAGCAGCAAGGAGGGGAGGGATCTGCCCAGGTTGAGTGAAGGGTGTCAATAACGCACCTGGATGCCAAGAAAATTCAAAATTCAACCAAAATGGAGTATCTTAAGACACTGGAAAAACACTTGATGCCATCAGAGCCACACGGTGCTGAAGACCTGTGCTCCACACTGATCTGTAGTAGGAGGCTACATGACCAGGTGTGTGCTGTGCTCCAGGTAAACTCCAAGTCCTCTCCTTTCAAACACCCCCTCTAGCTCATCACATCTGAACCCAGCAGGGAGAGCTGTGAAGGTGGGAACTGAGCAGTTCTGCTTAGAGCTCAAGTAGCTATGCATATTCCTTTTCTGAGCCCATTGATTTCTGTGTAACTCACCATGTTGCCTGCGTTATTTGCAATGATTTAAGCAAGCAGAAAGGAACTGCAAGTGAAATTTCACACTGATCTGAAGGAATGCAGCAGAAAATAGTGGGCTGGGACCAGAAGACGCTTTCTGGTCATGGCTGTGGGGTTTTAGGGTCTTATCAGTGCCCCTCAGGGTGAAGAAAGGCAAGATGCATGCTCTCGAGGCATGTTACTGTGCACAAGAGCTCTGTTTTGGCAGGAAGACAGGATAGGATATGATGTAACAGGTCCCTTCCATCTCTGACATCTGTAATCAGAGGTGGTGTCCTTGGAAGATGCTACCTTTGAAGTGAATAGGATGTCTGCCAGGCACTTTACCAGCATCCACCAAAGTGATGATCTTGGAGTCTATTCTCACCCAGGCCCCAGCACAGGGAACCAGGGATACTCACAACAACGGGACTGTGGGGAAAATTGGGATTATCCCAGGGACTTGAGCAGCATTAAGGCAGTTCACATTGCTGAGCATCTGGCTGGATTGTGCCGTCACCATGGAAAAGAGCATGGTATAATTTATATAACAGATAAGGTCTTTAAAGTCAAGTCCTCTCTGGCTTTGCATTGCATTCCCCCAAAGAAAGGAATACATTGAGCCCTGGGGTCCAGACCTCCTTGTTATTATAACATAAGTGCAACTTAACACTATGGATTTGCACAGACCCCCTCCATATGCAGGTCATGTATTTGGCCCCTTGGCTACAGCAGGAAAGCTGGGGAGGCAGAGAAACACCTGTGCCTGTAGCACAGCATCAGCTAAGGCCTCCTGACAGCTGGCTCCTTCACACCATGCCATAAGGTGTGGCATTTACCTGTCTTGCAATTCATCTCATTTATTTTTATGCTGGGAGCTAAACCACGTCCAAGAGAACAGCTGGTTGCCTCTTCCCCACTGCCTCTTAGAGGATTTCACTGTCTCATTGTGCCTCATGCAAAAACACTTCCAGGAGGTTCATATAAATGTCCAGTGCTTGATAGTCCTGGTGTTCTGACTCCAGTCCTTGTTTTACTCATTCTGAAACGTCCTCTGCTTCTGTCCCCATCACGTTACCTCTCTGGGGATGGCAACTGTTAAGTTATTGGGAGCAGGCGGAAAGATTAAGTACTGACGGGTTTTGTCTAGAACATCACCACTTGTTTTCATAGAATCATAGAATTGTCTGAATTGGAAAGGACCATTAAAGGCCATCTAGTCCAACCCCCCTGCAATGAACAGACACACCTACAGCTCCATCAGGTACTTAGAGTCCCATCCAGCCTGACCTTGAGTGTATCCATGGATGGAGCACCCACCACATCTTTGGGCAACTTGTTCCAGTGCTCCACTAAAGATGCATTACTTCACGGATTTGGTGCTCACAAGGCACGGATTCATACCCCGCAGGGCCAGATCCTGTAAGCTTTGTAAGAAAATGCCATGATCACA